TAGATTTTGACAATCCTTTTTCCACTGAAGAATTTATCAAGTATAATAAGTCTAAGATTATAGATGAAATAATATCTGACGAAAAAATTTTAAAAGCAGTTTTACCTGATCAAGAAGACGAAAGAGAAAAAGATTCTTTATTGCTAATAGTTACTTCTGAAGAAGTTATTGAGGCTTATGATAAAGTAAATTTATATTTGGAGCAGCAAGAAAAATCTTTTAGCATGAAAAAGAAAGAGTTAAAATCTATTAAAAAGCTTAAAAAAGAAGTTTTAAGATAACAGTTTATCTCTTTAAAACAAACTAAACTCGATAAATTTATTATTATAATAGAATAATAATTTGAGAGGTTATATAATAATGTTTACAGTTTTTTTTTACTTTTATAGAATAAAATGATATTATAATTACAAGAAATTTGATGTATTGACTAAATAACATTCAATAATTGTGTTAAAATTTTGTTGAAATTTTGTTGAAATTTTATTGAAATTGTGTTAAGAAATCATATTGTTTTTTATTAATTTTTAACCAATTTTTGTTGAACTTGTGTTGAAATTGTTTATTGATTTTTTTGCAAATAATTTTATAATGATTTTTTATTTATCACTGAGGTGATAACTTATTATTGTTGATCTACTCTGATTGTTTGATATATTATATTTATTAATTGCGTAAGTTATTTTTAAATTGATCTAATTTTTATAAATAATACAATGTATTATTATTTTGACTTTTCGTTTTTATACAAATCAGAATTTTCGATTACGAAGAGTCCTTTTTGTATTATTTCAATCATGAATTTTGCTTGTTATATTTAGATTGATCTAATTTTTATAAATAATATGATGCACAATTATAATATGATGCTTATATTATTATTTTAACTTTTTGTTTTAATACAAATTAAAATTTCAATCAAAATTGTATTATTTCAATCATAAGTAAAGAATTTCATGATATTAAATTAATGAATAAATTTATTTATAAAAGAAAGTATTTTTTACCATCGTATAATTTTTTACTTTTAAAATTTTAAATCAACCTTTAAATCACTTTAATTTACTTCATTAAATCATATATTTTAATAAATACAAAAATGACTACAAGAATCATTTAGGAGGATAATGAAATTGACTTATTAGTTGAGAAAAGAAGGAGGAGAAATGAAGAGTATCATGTAAAGTACAGAGGCAATAAAACGAGATTCTAGAGGAGTATAGCTCAATGAATCAATCGAAGATTTAATATAATATATTCAACTTGCCAATTTGATTTGAAATGAAAGAATTTAGTATGAGATTATAATGTAAATAAATAAATGAATAATAATATAATGATAAATATAACTTAACAGTATAATTAATATCTTTTAAGATTTTTGCGATTATCAAAATGAAGTGAAAAGATGTGGGAGGTGAACCTATACTATGAAAAGATTATATGACTTTTTCAGGACTCAATTCTTAGATAGGCTAGGTAATAATTAAAAATGTTTAAATGATTTTTTAGATTTATATTAAATATATTTATTTTTTTAATATCGAGACACACTCATAGGAAATATTGTAATTTGCCTACTATAAGGTAAATATGAATATAAGGCAAAACCATAATGAGCCTGCAAGGCAAAACTGAAATAGACGGTAAAATCGTGATATGCCTATAAGGTCTGCAAGACAATAAAAATTTCAGTTTTTTTCTTGTTGTTCGTTTAATTTCATTTTTTTCATATTATTCATTTTTTCTTTTTGTATTGTATGTTTAATTTTATTTTCCTTTTTTTTTATTTTGTTTCATTTTTCTGTTTTGTTTCATTTTCCTAATTTTGTTTTATAGTTTCTTTTTATTTGTTTAATTTTGTTTTTTTGTCTTATCTTATTTATTTAATTTTGTTTTATAGTTTCATTTCAGTTTTTTAATTTCATTTTTTTGTTTCGTTTAGTTTTCTTTTCATTTCGTTTTTATTTTTTATTTTTCTTTTCTTTTATTTTATTTTTATTATATTTTTATTTAATTTTTATTTTATTTTAAAAAAATAAATTTTTTTTTTAAAAAAATTTAAGTAAATTAATAAAACTATTGTATAATGATTAACAGATTGCATGTTAAAATAAAATAACTAGAATTTACAAAATAATATGAAAATATTTCTGAAAAAATTATATCATAGTAAAATTATATTTGTGTAATGAAATTAGTAATCATTTACCATAACGAATAATTCGTTAATGCTATAATGAATTATTCGTTATACATACTGAATAATTCATTATAGTATTAATGAAGATTCTTATAATGAAGTTCTGATTAGTTAGATTGGTAACTTAATTATATCAAAGCGTAACTATATAATACTGATCTAGGTGAATGGTAAAATAAATAAAAAATAGTTTTTCTAAATTTATTTAAATTAGTATAAAAATATTTTTCTATAACTGCTACATCTATTCTAAGTGAATGCTTATTTTCAGATACAGAAAATCATATTTTAATTTGACATATATACTTTGACCTAAATTTACTTTATCGCATGATTTTTTTTGAAATAAAATATGAAAGTTTGAATATATTTCCTTCAGAAGAAATCTGATTATAATAATTAGCAAAATATAATAGCTGGAATAAAAGTCAATATAATTTGTCATCATTATTAATAATAAAAATAAGTTCAAATATTTTTTTTTTTGTTTTAATTAATGAAATAATATAAATTAATAATTTAGTTCTTTAAACTAATCAGTTATTAAATAATCTAAATAATTTGAATAATCGTTATTAATCAATAATTAATTTGAATAATAATCAATTATATATTTTATAAATAATTGATTAATTGATTACAAAATTTTTGACTGATTCAGATCTCTAGTATAAATAATCATCTAAGATGTTTTAGTACAAATAATAGTTCAAATTTTTGATAAACAATGAATGCTAACGTTTTTTGAATCTTGAATAGATGCTTTACCTTAGAGACAATTGGTTGTATATCATGAGACTATATACAAATAGTATTTTTTAAATATTAGGAGTGTTATCTTATTAGAAAAAATAACTTTCTTCTAATTATAACACAAATGATCACGTGATCAAGTCAGTCTAATATTTTTCATTTTCTGAGTTAAAAAAGAAATTTTTCTTAACATATTAGAAACATATTCAAGATTTTAAGTTTATAACATACAGTATATTCGCTAACCTCAAGTTCAAGATCTTTTTCTTTTAATTTGATTTTAAGTTTACTTGCAGTAGTAAAATGGTTATGTTTTAAAATTTTTCAAATATAGAAGCATTAATTTGCAGACAATTTTCTTAGATGATTGAAGAATAACTAATAGTAATATTAGCAGTTTTATGTAGTAAACTGACATATCATTCACATATATATAAAGAAATACAAAATTATTTATAAATTTTCTTTACATTATACACGTTTAGTCTCAGAGTTTCTTAATAAAGTTTTGTTAAATTTTAAAAGAGCTTAGCATTTTTTTGGTTAAGAAATCATAATAAAACAAAAATAAACCTTATTTTTTTTAACTTATCTTTTATATTATGATTCTAATGTTCAATTTAGTATATAAATAATAGCCCATATTGAAATGTGATTTACATTTTAATATAAAATAGATATAATATTTAAACTGTTATTCTTTTCGCTAAAGACTGTATTAGTCTTGTTGATTTTAATTTATCTATAAAGATGATATTACAACTAATTATAATTATATTTTATTTATTTATCATTAGTTGCAGTTAATTATAACTTAATTTTATTAATATACAACTAGTTGTAATCTAGTAATACTTATTTATAACTAGTTATAATATCATCATAAGTATAACAAACTGGATTTTTTTTAATTTTAATAAAGATTGTTTAATTTTTTTTTCATTTTGCAGAAGGATCAATATTAGATAGGCTTAATAATTTGGGTATCTATATTATCTCAAATTATTCAAATCTTAAATATTAAAAAAAAAATTAGTTATTGTAAATATTAAAATATTAATATATATTTTATCTCTTCTACAAATTATTTATTTTTCTTGTTAAATTCTTTATTGATTTTAACAAATAATTTGTTTTCCTTTAAGAGATTGAAATTTTATCATTTTAATTTCTCAATTATTTTGTTAAATTAAATTAGTTTTTTTTTAACTTTTGATTTTTTATGTAAGAATAAAGAAATATCTTGTTAATTATAAAATAATAATAGAAATAAATTAAAAATAATATATCTGATTTTAAATTGTTAAAATATCAAGAATTTCAACTACAATTACAACTGAAATATTTGCTATTGATTCTTATTAAAATTTGAATAAGAGCTAAATTTTCTTATATAATTTTTACATTTTTTTAATTTATACTATTATAATTTAAAAAGTTATTTAATATTAATATAATAATAATATATTATGATTAACTGATATTTTAAAAATTTAGTTCTTTTTCAAATGATTTTGAGTAAACATATTTTTGTTTTTTCTATTATAGAAAATAAAAAATTAGTTTATTATTTGAAAAATTTACTGGTCAATTAATAAAATTTAACTTACATTTTGAACTTTTTTTTAGCTAATTTGATTTTATAGACATTTTTTAGTTTTTGATTAAATTGTATTTTTATTATTAAAAAGTAAAAAAATTGGTTTATTATTTGAAAAATTTTAATATTAGATGTATTACTCATTATTATAATTTAATTAGCAAAGATATTATTTAATACACAATTGTAAAAAAAATAATTCAGTGTACAAATAAAATAGTTTAATTTTTTAAGAAATCTTATAAAGCTGCAACTCTTTTTAAAAAAAAAAATTAGAGGTAGTCTCAAGATATATATCAAAATCAGATGGATAATTATATATAAATATATTTTTTCAATTGTATGACTTAAAAGTATTTTAGAGGAAATTTAAGATAACCATTCTGAAGTTATTATAACTCTAGCCATTCTAACAATTCTCTATAGTCAGGGTTTTTTAGTAATATGCAGCATCTTTCAGAAGTTTTATTTTTAATAAAGAATGCAATTTTAGCAGTTAAAGTAACTAATTCTACTCTAGCAGATGTATATACAAATCTTATAAAATTGTTATAGTAATTCAAAACCTTTCTACTGATGAATATAAGGGATTTTGTAACTATTGCATTAAAAAGTTTGATTATAGATTTGAAGATTTTAATAATTCTATTTAACCAACTTGTATTTTTTCTTCATCTAACATATAAGAGAGTTGGATTAAAATTTGACACATTTCAAATAATTGCAAATTATGCTAGACAATTATAACAAAAAATAAGTAAATCAAAAAAAGTTGTGAAACTTTAATAACTCAATTATATCTTTATAAAGAGCAAAAATATACTATAAATAGAAAGACAAATCCTTTTTTATTCAATTAATAATATATTATTAATGTGGTAAAATACGTGTGAAGTTAAGCTAAATCATATACAATAATTAGCAGTTAAACTCTTTTCATTACACCAAGTTCTGCAGCATATGAATGAATGTTTTTATCCTTAGAAAGGATCTATGAAAAATGATGAATTTAATTAGAAATGAAAAAAATTAAAATAGCAAAAATTTATCAGTTTAATTTATCAAATGCTGCAAAACAACTTCATTGAACTCAAATAGAAATGTCTTTGAAAATGATGAAAAATGTTGTAGAAACAGCTTTTAAGAAACTTGAAGAATATGTCTTTTTAGAAAAATTAGAAAATGCAAAATTGTTAAATCTAGCTGACCACTTCTATACAAATAAATCAGCTAGAAACTTGAATATTTTAAATATAATTAATTTCTATCTCTAATTTTCATTCTAATAAGATTTATTTTAATAATGAAGAAAAAGGAGAATTTGATAAAAGTGAATTCAGTGATAAAGATAATAAATATGATATGAATGAAATTATTACTAGTAAACTAGAAAAAATGCAATTTTAATACTTTATATAAATAAAATTTTGCATTTATACAATCATTTATAAATAAAGTTTCATAATTTTGAATAATAATATTAAAATTTTATAAATTTTTATTAAAAATTCAATTAATTACAATAAAAAATTATGTTAAAATCTTAATATCTAATTTATAGTTAAATAAGAATGGATCTGAAATTATTTTCTATGATATTGTATAATACACCTACAGACTATAGTCAAACCTTAATATACTGATACTACTAGTAAATCAAAATATCAGATATATCATAAAAAAAATTTATGTACTGATATTTATATTATATGTTAATTAATATCAGTATATAAATTTTTTCTTTTTTATATGACTATAAATTAATTAATAAATCATATTCATATGTTTTATAATTATTTTTTTGATTTTTTAAACCTTTTAACACTATTTTAAATATTGATTATATCAGATATATTATTATATTAAAATTAAATATTCGATCTCTACCCTAATGTTTAAGATTAAATTATCCATTAAATTTTTTTACCAATTATTATTAAATAATCTGGCTAAAATGAATTAAATAAAATTTTAAAAAATTAAAATATATCAATTGATTATTGCTAATATAATTATTAATATTTTATTATTATATTAATATTATTACATACAAAGAATTTACAATATATTTAATATATTATAAAATTTTAATGAATTTATTTAATGTAATTTACTTTAAATTATTAATATATAATTTTAATATCTGATGCCTTAATTTTTGCAATATACTTAATTTATTTTAATTAATAGAAACATCTGATAAATATTTAAAAAATGCAACAAGATCATCTAAATAACCTAAAACTTTTTTTTTGAAATTATTTCTAAAGGCCTTTCATTTGGATCTATTTTCAATTCATTATTATTTGATTTTATCATAGATATAATTTTATTATCAATTAATCCTTCACTATCTTTTAAATCATCATCAATATAAAGAAATTCTTCTACATCCATAGGATTATCAAATAGAAGTTGATAAATTAGATTTTGTAATTCCATTTTATCATGAACTGCTTGATCCTCAATTTTATTATCTATTTTATTATCTGTTTCATCTATTTCATCTGATAGAAGGATTCTTGTATGTTTTCAACAATTAAAAATAGTTTATTGGTTTATAGAATTCTAAGCATCTTTACTGAAATTAATAGTATCTTGAATATTTAAAGGAATAGTTTTTTATTTAATTCTTGTGAAATTTCATATGCTTTAATTTTATTCCTAATAAGTAATTTCTAGTATTGTGCCTAAATATTTCAAAATTAATAATAACATATTTTTATTTAGCAAATTAATAAAATAATAAAAAAATAATAAAAATATCACTAACCTTAAAAGAATTGATGATTTCTGTATCATAAGGTTATAAATGAGCTGTGATATTTAATGATAAAAAGTGTACAGTTACATTTATTAAATTCACATTTTCATCTATGACATATATTAGGGCATTATTAATAAGTAAAAGAATATTACGTTATTTTAATCGCATTTGTGTATCTGATCTTGTAAGATAATCATTTTATACTAAAACTTATATTCAAATTGTTGAATTCAAATAATTAATACTAGTAATTTATTTTTTTTTTATGTAATATTTGTGGATTTTAATAGGTATGGATAAAAAATAACTTTAACTTTTCAGTTTCAGTTGTATTACATATAAGAAGAAAATTAATCTGCCTTTTAAATTTTTTTTTAGAAGTGAGCTCTATGCTAAAAATTTTGAAGGTTCAAGATCCCAATATAATCCCAAAATAAATAGAAATATTAATATATTATTTTAAATTTTTTTAAAAAAATTTAGGATTAATACCTATTTCATTACAGTTAAAAACATTATTCAAATTAATTTCATGTAATATTTTCCTTTTTTCCTCTAATATTTCTAATAGTGCACTTTTTGCTTTACTCTATTTAACATATTCTTTTAAATGATATTATTGTTTAAATTTATTAATCAATCCATTAAAAGCTGTAAAATTATTAATTTCAAATCCTTTTGCAAAAATTTTTGCCTTTTCACGTAAAAATATTATCATTAATAATAAGTTCTACAGCAAGTACATTTATTGTTCATACTGCAAGAGCCTTCTCTACCTGTGGAAAGCAAAGTAACTTTTCTCTTTATTTACTTGCCTCTTCTGAATCAGGATTCATAAGCAGCTATTTATCTTTTTTTTTAAATATCAGAAATGGTATTTTACTTGATTTTATATATGACAGTGAGTTCTTTTTGAGTGAGTTATGATGTTTTTTAAAATCTAAACAGAGTTGATACTTTTGTGTATATGTTAAAACAACTCTTTTCTTTGGTTAAGTTGACTCTTGAGTGGGTTTTCTTTTTTCTTGAAACATGATACAAAAAATATTTTTATTATATATATGCATATAGCAAGATGCATACATTAATAAATTTATTTTAGTATAACCTAGATTATTAATACATATAATAATAGATTATTATAAAGAGCAAAGGGTAAATATCAGTATATAATACATCATGAAATTTTATATAATATTGATACAATGAGATTTTTTTATTAATTATAAAATAGGACAATAAAAATTTATCAGTACATATACCGGAAAATAAGAGAAACAAAAGTATTGCATGCTTTATTTTTTCAATAATTTTTTATTTTTTTACAGAAACATATAATTTTTTTTTATTTTTTGAAAACTGACATTAATATTTAGTATATTTTTTATTAGTGTTGATTATAGCCTGAATTTTATTTAGCATTGATCACATCAAATTTTAGTACTCTTTTTGCAATATTGCATCCTATGCTTCTTTTATCACCTTTTCAAGCTTAGGAATGCTTGAAGGTTGAGGATTGCATTTTTGAATTTCTACCTCAACTATAGACCACATATTCTCAATTGGATTAAGATCAGGACTTTGAGCAGGTCATGGAAGTAAATCTACCCTTTGAGAAAGTAAAAACTCTTGTGTAACCTTTGAAATGTGAACTGGTGCATTGTCTTCTTGAAAAATAATTTTTTTTTATTTTTCAGAAAAATTCCTTTACAGTCAATGCAATACAATCTTCATGAAATTCTTCTCCTAGTTTTCATCACACTCATCCCCATCCAGATTTGTGAAATTAAAAAAAAGTGGATTCGTCTGTCTAGACTATTTTTTCCAGTCTTCAATGGTCCATTCTTTTCTTTTCATTGCCCATGCAAGCCTTTTAGTCTTGTTAATTGCTGAAATTAAAGGTTTCTTTCAAGAAATATAAGAAGACACATTTTTTTCATGAAGTGTTCAGCGAATAGTTTTTTTGGAGATTGGTTTATTGTTTTTAGCAGAAATTATTTTAGAATATCTGCTAAATTTTCCGTCTCAATTCTTTGCTTTTGAGAACTTCAGCTTTTAATCTTTGCTTTTCTTGATTATCAATTAAGCATGGTCGATCTGATCATTTTTTGAAAAGTTCTCCTGATTTATAAGCTGCAAGATATCTTGAAACAGTTGTTCAATGACATCCTATAATTTTTGCAATCTCTGAATTTATGTGACCTAATTTATTAGCTGTTATTATGCCTCCCTTTTGCATAAGAGTTAATTCTTTAGCGAGGCCCATTACGTGTTTATGCGCAAAGGTGAAAATTTTGGTTTTTTTAAAAAGTGAATTTATTAATTGCTACACATTTAATCAAAACAATAAACAAATATCCCTTTAAAGCAACTGTTAACCTATTCAGTATAAAAATCATTTGGCTAGTAACTTATAAATAATTTATTTAAATTTTTATCTTTAAGCTGTGCAATATTTTTGTTCCCCCGGTAATTATCGGTATATAGAATATCGGTACATTGAGGTTTAACTGTATCTAAAGAAAAAATAAAGTAAAAATAAGTTAGTAACATTCTTAAACCAAACTACTACAGAAAAACACTCCTCTTGAATTTACCTCAAGTTTAACAAAAAGAAAGCAAATAGAAATGTTAATATTATAAAATTAAAGTTTTACAAAGAGCAAATCCACTGCTGATAATATTTACACTTAATCTTATATTTTGAATGTTACACCAATTAAGAATGTTACATCAATTACAACCGGTTGGAAAATTACAACCTTTCACCTATTACGGCATGCAACATTATTCGGGATAATGTCGGACATTGCAAAATAATTAGTATTAGAATTTAATTTGAGTTTATTTAAAAACTTTATGTTTTTTTCGTCGCGAAGCGACCCCTGGGCATCGCCCGGGTAGAATTCTCTTCAAAATTTCTACCAAACCACAATAAATTGCCAATTCAGTATGCTACAATGTATAATTAATCGAAATTGAATTTCCCGTAACCATTTTGTAAAAAAGATGCTTCCTTAAATGGTAAAAACGATATAAGGTCACGTGAAAATGCAAAAAAATGAAGAATTTGCCTCTATGATGCAAATGCACGAATCCGCATCTAAGGTAACGAAAAAGTTAGTTCTTTCTCCCAACGGGTTAACAACTAGTTTTAATTAAAAAATAATGTTTTGCAGGAAACAGCAAATTATATCAATACAAATAAATAAATTTTAATATTCGTTTTATTATTATTAATTACTTAAATAAAAAATTTTTTATTGTTTAAAAATTTATTAAAATTAATTTTATTAATAAAAAATATATTTTTGGCTGACCAAAACTTAAAATTAAATTTGACCATATCCAAGTGCCAAAACTGTAATATACGACGTTAAATTAAATCATTTTTTTAAATACAAGAAAATTCATCGTCGTTAAGGGCTAATCGCGATAATACGATTTGCACGTGATGTGACATTTGTTCGTTTCGACATAAATCTTTAATATAGTTCTGACTTTGACGGGCTTTTTATTATTGTTTTGAGTTTCCGACATTAAGATTCTATTATAGTGACCAAAGTGTTTTGCCAGGTAACTCCAATCGGAGCCGGGGAATTTTATAAGTTCGGGATCATAACAATATATTTCTCACAAAACTCTTTTAACTTATCTGCGGTTTAATTGATAAGTTGGGTTTTTTATCTTTCTATGATGTAGAAATTCTCTTTTATTTAACCGAAATTTAAAAATTAGGTGCCACGCCTTGTAGTTCACAAACTTAAAGTTTTATTTTTGATTTCTAGGTATTATGTAAGAGTAGACCTATACTAAAGGAATATTTGATTTCTATTATATTTCAAAGTTTAATAGAAAATCTCGGAAAATAAATTATGAAATTAGGAGACCTTTGCAATAGAAAAATGGGATATCTCCGGAAAAAGTAAAATTGATTTCCCCCTTTCTATTGCAAAGGTCCCATATGATCGAACATGTCAAACGTTCGAAATAAATAACGAAGACGGAAAACAAATAAAGAAACAAAAAAAATAAAGGAATCGTTAAAAGTTACATTTCGCGCCTTTTCTATAACGCTTATTAAAAAAAATTAAAATTAAATAAAAAGTTACTAATATAATTGGCTTAATTGGATGAATACAAAAAAAAGCGACTATAGTCACTTCTTGTTCAATTTTTTAACCATAACCATATGTACACGCCGTGTTTTGTGAGTTCTCAATTGTCCCGATTGTTTAAACTCTTTATTACAGACTTCACACTTATAAGGCCTTAATCCTGTATGTGTTTTTATATGATCATTCAGGTGACCTTGTTGAGTAAACGTCTTGGGACATGCTTCACACTCATAAGGTTTGTCATTATAATGTATTCTCTGGTGTGCCGTCAAACCACCCTTTTTTGTAAACCTATTTCCGCAAGTATTACAGGCGTATGGCTTAAGTTTGTCATGAATACCCTATATCAATTAATAAAACATCATTAATAATTAAATATAGTAAGAACTTCAAAGTAAATGTTTTTGATGCTGACCTTTTTATTAGATTTAGACTCAACACTAATCGAATCATGTTCAGATTTCCTTTGAGATGGGGACGCACCTTGATTGAGTTGTGGTAAGACTTGTTCTACATACATGTGAAAAACATTAGTACTTGAAAAATAAAAGCTAACTTTTAATTTTATTGAAATTAAATTAAAAAACCTTGATATTTGTTCACGACATTATAAACCAATGATAAGCTATCTGTAGGAAATTCCAGCTCTCTATTAATATCCGTAATACCTAAAAATATAGCAAAGTCATCCAAAGATTTATCATTTTTACTTGTTTAAATAATAATCATTTTTATGAAAATTTAAAATATTTCAAAATAAAAACCTGGATATTCATCCACGACATTAGAAAGAAGTCTTGGTCGGGCATCGCCTGTGGAAAGAAATTCATGCCTTCTATTAATATCCGTAATACCTTTTTCTTTTAAAAGCGTCGACTCGTCATCTAAGATTTGATTAATATTCGTTTTTTTAAAAAAAAAAAAAATTAACGCTATTTTTATTTATAATGTTTTGAATTATATGCAAATTAAAAACCTGGAGATTTCTCCACGACATTAGTATAAAGCCCTAGTGGGTCATTAACAGGATCCATAACCCTTTGTTCTTTTAAAAATGTAGGTGTAGATTAAAGTATTTGTTAAAAAAAGACCATAAATTATTACGATAAATTTAAACACTTTGAAAATAATATAAATAAAACCTGAATAATCAACTTGGCACAGTAATCATTGATTCAATATTATTATTTTTAGGAAAAAATTGATGTTTATAACTATTGAATTAAATTAATTAAATTGAATAAAAAACCTGGAACTGGGTGGTCTAATATGTCACAGTTCAAAGATTTAAATTATGATTTGATAAAAAGAAAAAAACAAAAATTTTTTTTATTTAACAACTTTTATGGTAATTTAAAATGTTTATAATATAAATAAAAACCTGGATAAATTTTCGCTAAGTCACTGGCTTTGATATAAATTATTTTACTACTGGAATCCTGCCCGATATTATCTTCTTAAAAATGAGTATAATTATTTATTTAAATATTTAACGATATTAAAAAGTAAAAAAAAAGATGTTAAATCCAAATGTCCAAGTCATCAAATTGTCACTATAATACAATAGATTACAATATCAAACCTTGCGCTTCCATGTTTTTAAATATCGAAATTCTTGTCAATAACTGGAATTATTCATGTCAGTTTTGAAAAACTTGAATGATTTATACCCATATTTTTCGTCTTTTTTTTTTAGTGTACAAATTTTTTTCGTCTTTTTCTCTTGTGCAACCTCTAATCGACTCTATAAATGCGGCATATACGCGAAGAAAACTCTAGTTATCAGTTATTTTTAGAAACTTTACGTTTTTGGTAATTATAACAAAGCTTAGTGTATATACTTAATATCTATTTCATCAAAATTCATTAACTTATTAATTTACGTTATTAATAAGTATAATAAAAGTGTAAGATATCTTTAATAATGAAAAAAGAATAAAAATTATATAATATATATATATATATATAAAAGAACATGAGAACGAAATTGCAAAAAAAAAAAAAAATTAAAATTTTAAAAACGCATTGAAATTTATATATATTTTTTTCGTAATATTAACGTCCGGGATCACTGTTCCGACTTGTGTGTCTATATTTTTAAGATCTTCGCATATCTATTCCATATTATTCGTCGTCATTTTAAAAATTGAAAGATAATCAAACCAATTTTCTTTTTATTTTCTTTCCTTTTAGATTTCCTGTGAACAGTATCCTTTATCTATTTCCAGATATAGGTTGATTTAAGTAAACGAATAAATTTATTGATTTTAGCTTATATTTGTAACTGTACAACCTACACATATTTAACATTCCAAGGGAATTAATAAACTGGATACTTTTTATTTTAATGATTTCATTAGGAAATTTCTCCGTGAATCTATTGTTAATGGGGGTTATCAGAATTGTTTTGAATCCTAAAATTTCCTTTTTATTTATCACTTACAAAAAAGAATATTAAAATTTTCTTCTGATAAATGTATGCTATATACTACGCAAAAAAAAAAAAAAAAAAAAAAAAAAAATGGCTATTACATTAATATAAATTTAGTATTATATAAAATAATAATATTCCAATAAAATGAATTTAATATCAACCGTTTATCTTTGTTTGTGGATATGATTCTCAACTTTTTCTTTCGCTAAACCTTTATCCGCCTTCCAAAATTCTATGGTATCATTTTGTGATTGCTCATCATCAATTTCTTCAACCACTTGGTCAATATTATCTTTAATTAATTTCCTATCAATTTCATGTTTAATGTTCAATGGTCTTTTCTCCTCATAATACTTCAAAGTGTAATATATCCAATTCTGAACAATAGTAGAAATTTCTGTTACAGTTGGTCTTTCAGAAGGGTCGGGATCCCAGCATGCTTTCATTAATTCAACATAGCACCGTGGAGTTTTTTGAATGATTCTAGGACGTTCACCCTCGTAAATGCTTAACATAAGTCGACGATCATGCGTCCTGCCGTTAAATGGCGGAATTCCTGACGTAAGTTCCCACATAATCATTGAACAACTATATATATCGCTAGCTGGAGTGTAAGGCTCTCCTCCCAAAACTTCAGGCGCTATAAAAGGCAAGACACCGTAAATGCTTTCATTGTCAGAAGAAGCGGACGGAACAGATTCAAATGGTTGACATGATCCTAAATCGTCAACAAAATTTTGAAATAAATCCAATCCATTATAATTATTACGTACTCTCTTCGTTAAAATGTTACCATCATGAAGATTACAATGAACGAGGTTGTTGTCATGTATTTTTTCAAGACCAGCAATGATATCATTCAATAAATTTAATCTGGTATGCCAATTAAATTTAACGATCCTTGGTAAGAAATTCTTTAAACTTCCTTCATTAGCGTAATCCATTACTATCATATGATTCAAACTAATTGGATGCTGGGTGAAACCGAATAATCGAATGAGGGAATGTTCTTTATCATAATCACAACTAAAATGATGCTTCCACTTATTATCAGGTAAAATAAAAATTAATTCACTAGATCCATTATCATTTTAATTATTTTCAATATTAACATTATACCTCATTTAGAAATCCTTCATCACCATTTGATTTTGATGAATTATTAAGATTTTTAAGAACCACTTCATAACCATCCACATTTTCGTCAATTTCGTATGTATTTCTATTCCATTGTTGTTTATCATTATCCCAAGTTTCAATAGGACCATCTAACCAAATTGCTTTGAACGCAATTTCAGAAACTAGGTGATTAATATTCGTTATTCTATCGAAAGGTATCCATTCTAAAACATCATCGTGCTTTCGAGCTTTGATTTGTACATCTCTAATAAATTTGTTAATGAATGTATTTCCGCTAGTCCACTTTGAAAAATCTTTCTCAAATCTTTTGGGATTACATCGAAAACACCATTGATATCCCGTATTATCATTTTTGCAATCCGGACAAAATTTGCTGATAATCACGGAAAGAATAATATAATTTAGTTTTAATCAAATTTAACACGACAATATTACTCTTTACCTACAAACTTACATATCGTTACACATGATGTGTAGTTAAAAAAGTTTTGCTCAAATTTTTCAAAAAATTTTCTTGGAGAGAAAAAAAATTCTGTAGCACCAACCGCCACATGGAACTAAATCCTTAAATTGGAAAATTCGATCAGCTATCAAAATTTTCCGCTGCATTGTATTTTAACAATTATAGAAAACACCCATCAATTTTTTATGCATGAAAGGTAAATGATTATAAACACAAACTTTTTTGGTTTTTTTTTTTTTGTTTTTTAAACTTTTTTTTTTTTTTTTAACTTTTTCACAATGGATATTTCAGACATTATTAATGATCATAAAGACGTAGAAACATACTATGCAAGTGATTTTTTACGAAATGCTCAAGATATTGAGGTAAACTTAAAAAGCAAAAGGCAAAAATTTTTTTTTTTTGTTTTGAGTTTCATAAGAGGATTTCGTTTAATAATCAGTTTCATTGATTAAAAGGCTTTTCCAACGGGTAGTGATTTCGAAATTGATGATAAAAATATAAAAAAAGCCAAAGTAGATCATTTTACGGTAACTCGTACAACCGTACCTACCGCAACGTCTCCTGATGTAAGTTTTAATGGATTAAATCAATTTATTCTTTTGATCACATTGGATCAAATTGGTTAGATTATAATTTTATTTTTAGACCAAATATCTTGGTGGTGGTTCTCCTATCCAAAAATATCCCTTCTTTGGTAGTATCCCTGCTCGGGAATATGAAAGAAAATACCAAGGTAGAAAAAATCGCTCTTTTGCTAATTCAGAACTCTAATGAATTTATTAATTATTATTTTTATTAAAATGTAGTTTTTTTAGCCAGTCAAGAATCACGATGCAAATATAGACAAAATGTTATTGATAATTCAAGAAAAGCTGAATTCATTCGGGTAAAACTTATGTCAAAACTAACGATAATTACCGGTCCTATGTTTGCGGGAAAAACTGAAGAGTTGCTGCGAAGAATTAATCGTTGTCAAATTTCTAACAACAAATACTTACTTTTCAAGCCTTCTTTGGATAATCGTTATTCGTCAGCAGACGTGGTTTCGCACCAAAAAAATAAAGCTCGGGCAATCGTTCTCCAGAGTAGTAACGAAATAGACAAATATGCTTCTCAGGAGAAAGAGCAAACGATTTTTTTCTTTGATGAATTACAATTTTTCGACGAAGGAATTAGCGAAAAAATTAATTTCTTGTTGAAAAGGGGATTCTTGGTTATTGGTGCGGGGTTAGATAAAAACTTTCGCGGCGAACCTTTTAATGAAGTTATGAAATCTTTACTTTCCTTGGCTGATGAAGTTATTAAATTAAAAGCCATTTGTCAAGTGTGTCAAGGTGAAGCTAGTTATACCCAAAGGATAATTTCTGGTCAACCCGCTGCTTTTGATAGTCCTCTCGTTTTAATAGGAGGTCAAGAAGGTTATGAAGCTAGATGCCGCCAATGTTATGCTTGTCCGAGAAGTTAATTAGCGTTGAAGGAATTGACGGTGGTGAAAAGTCTAGAAGTTTGGAATGAAAAAAAAAAAAATAGAATATATGATGATTGTGATAAAATTAATAGAATCAAACTTGAAAATTTTGAATGTCGTTTCTTTTTATTATTTTATCATGTGGAAATGCGATTACGCTATAAAGATAAATGATAAATCACGTGTTTAGTGTTATATGGATTTTTTTTTTTAAAAAAAAAAAATTGAAATTGAAATACATATAGTCTTTTTGTATAAGGTTTTTTTAGAGATTGCTCGGACTTCAGATCACACTTTGAAAGTATTATTATGATTTGATAATTAGTAAGTATGCTTGCATAAGCAATTTAATATGTAAACATATTCGCATTTATTTAATTTATAAATAAACAAAATAAACAATAATTTATATGTTTAAATTTATTTACTATCTACTGTACCATGCTATCATACCATGAAGACTTGCGAATAAAGGAGATGAAAGAAAATTTCCCAATATCAAATATAAATAAAAGTAAAATTAAGTGAACGTAAGAATTAAATAATTGTCTCTGACATATATAACGATAATAAAATCGCGTGAATCCGTGATTTTAATAGTGGCGGTTATTGTCAAAGCCTTAACAATAATATTTAAATTCTTAATTGTATTGTTGGAATTCAAATTCGCACTCCTTGTGTTTTTTAGTATCTTTATGTGCTTTTAACTGCCCTTTCTCTGAGAATTTTTTGTTGCAAATTTCACACTCATAATTCTTTTCACCGGTATGTACTTTCATATGTGCATTAACTTGGCTTAGTTGCGTGAATTTTTGTTTACAAATTTCACAGACAAAAGGTTTTACGCCGAAATGAGTTTTCTGATGTGTCGTTAAATTGGCTTTCTGAGCAAATCTTTTGTTGCACGTTTGATAATCACAAGCAAATGGTTTTTCACCCGTGTGCGTCCTTACATGGGTTTCTAACTGAAAATTGTCTCTGAAAGTTTTAGAGCATCCAGGATGTTGACAGTGAAACCGATTAACTCGTTTAGATTGTGATCCAAGTTCTACCTCGCTTAGTGACACGAATTTAGGAGCTAAAATCATAATAGTTATTTAAAAATTCGGATGTTTAAGTAATATCTCTTTTTTTTCTAAATTGTTTATTTATACAAAATCGAAGACCTACGAGAAGGATTCCCCTCTTTATCAACTGAACCATATAAAAATTGCTCGATACTTATATCTGACGCCGCAACACCATCATCTTTAAAATATGTGTCAACTTCCAAAGGTGATATTAATATTTAAAACAAAAAAAAAAAAGAAAAGGAACAAGAAGATTTAATATTTGAATTAAACATCATTACTGTCAAATACTTAAAGTTGAATTAAATAAAATCGTTAACATCTTTTTATTATTATAATTTAAAGTTGTTATTATAAATACAAACCAAGAGTTTCGTCAGGTAGAACCATCCTCTCAACTTATGGGTTATGAACTTCAAGAGAAAAGAAAATTTTGATAATTGTTGTTTATTTATCCATATTTTTTTTTTTTTTTATGCAAAACATTGCCGATCCAAACAGGTTGCCTAAGATACTGTGTAATATTTTTTAAGTCTACAGAAAAAGAAGGAGAGAAAACAAATTAATGAGAAATCAAACAACGAGAGGGCAAAAGCTAATTTTATTTAATCCAATTTTGGCAAAAGTCGGGTTTTAGATTTGATTGTATCATTAAACTTTCATGTAATAAATTAAAATTATTTAAACTTCCTTTTTGTTTAGATTTACTTTTCTTTTAAGATGGTTCGTGGAAATAATTTTAATTAATATTTATTTTTTATAATAATATCTATTCATCGAAGTTTATGCTTCCCGTTAAGAAATGTCATGCGAAATTGTCTTATTTACAGGACATCAATCAGGATTTTCAAAAGGATGTATTAAAAATGTTACTTAGAAGGGAAATTTATTTTGATAACTTTCGCGGTTATGCCTTTAATAAATAATTTGGCAAAACGACAAATACTAGTTTCGATTTCTGAAACTTCAGGATACCTAATATTTTTCTTATGCTAAAAAAAAGTTTATAATTAACGTAACGGCTTAATTTATCAATATTCATACTTCTAATAAACACATAATTTCTTAGCATTCTTTTATCTTTATTAAATAATCGATAATAAAAAATAAAATTTAGTATAACTTATAGAAAAACTTGAAAGTACACATTTGAATATTTGTTTATGTTGAGATTTCGCAAGGATGGTTGCAAAGGAGACTTATAATCTTAAATTTATGCAAGTAAAAAATCATAATCCTTTGCTAAAAAAAAAAAAAAAAAAAAAAGAATATTTAAAAAAAAAATTATTTTGTAAATAAAAAATTTATTTCCTAAATACATACCGATAGTTAATAAGGTTCGTTATCACTCAGCTTATACATTTGCTAAAGCTTTATCCGCTTTCCAAAAATCTACAGTATCATTCCTGAATTGAATATCATCAATCTCTTCAATAATTTCATCAATATTTTCATGAATCAATTTATAATCGACACCTCGTTTAATATCCAATGGATTATCTGCTTTATAATACTTCAAAATATAATAAATCCAACTCTGAATAATCGTAGAAACTTCATTTGCAGTTGGTCTTTCAGAAGGATCAGAGTCCCAACATGCATTCATTAAATCAGCATAACATTGTGGAAACATTTGATAATTTTTAGGACGTTCACCTTCGCAGACGTTTAAAATAAGCTGTAGATCACGTTTTCTGTCGTTAAATGGTGGAATTCCTGTAACAATTTCCCACATAATCATTGCTAAACTATATAAATCGCTAGCCGTAGTATAAGGTTTACCCTCCAAAACTTCGGGCGCCATGAAAGGTAGGTTACCATTAATATTATCATTTTTAGAAGTTCTTGGAGAAATGAAATACTGATAAAACTCCGATCCATTATAATTATTACGAACTCTCTTTGTTAAAATATTGCCAGTACAAAGATCACGATGAATAAGTTTAGAGTCATGCAATTTTGTAAGATCAATGACAATATCATTCAATAAGTTCAATTTAGTATACCAATTGATGTCAGGTAAAAGTGATGTTATTTTCAAATTCTATATAATTATGTTATTAATGTTAAAAAAAAAAAAAAATTAATAAAATAAACCAAATAAAAATTTAATTATACCTCTAATAAAACTTTTGTAGTTTGTTCATCCCAAATTTTAGGTTTATTCTATACAATTATGTTATTAATGTTAAAAAAAATAAAATAAATAAGTAAATTAAACCAAATAAAAATTAAATATTATACCTCATTTAAATATGATGATTCGTGAAGATAAAAGGGATATTGATCTTCTTTTTCATTATAGATTTCATTCTGCGATTCAAAATAATACGGTATTTGTATACAAGAAGTCATATATACGCAAATATCTTCTTCATTTTCATTAGTCCAATTAAAAAATTTTCCTCGAGATAATTTGGAATGATCAATATGATTCGGAAATCCGTCAATAACTTTAACTTTTTCGTTTTCGTAAGAAAGTTTATCCTGAGATAATTTGGCACTCGCATCGTTATGGCGAATTACCTGGTTCCTTTACGATATTAAATACAAAAACAACTAAAATTTAAGGATTTCATATAAAAAAAAACAATAATGACAGAAGAGAAACTTACATCTTCAAAATTTGATCAAACTTTGGAGTGGAATAAACAACTAAAATTTAGGGAATTCATATTAAATAAAAAAAAAATAATGACAGAAAAACTTGCCTCTTCCATATTTGTCAAACTTTGGAGCAGAGTGAAAATTTTACATATATCTGTTCTACGTATTTATAAAACTTTTTTTTTTTGCGATCAAAAAAAAAAAAAAAAAATGTTTATGTTTATGTTTGTGTGACTTTATCACTTGATTCATTTCAAAATACTTCTGATTACCTAAAAATAATCCCATATATAGTGTTATTTCGGTCGACTCTCCTTAAGTAAATTAAAATTTTGAGCGTTAAGTTAAATTTATACAAATATATGATCATTATAAAAAAAGTTTTCGATTGGTTTTCTTATCAAACAAATTCGACTCTTGAGCCGGTCAAAGAGTCCGTTCCGGTTCGATTTAAATTGGTGAAAAGTAACTCAGGCAAGTCCAGAATATGCTGAATTTTGAATCGGTTCCTGAACCCATTTTTTAATCGAGAATTGCAAATACCGCAAAAATTTTTAAAGAAAGAAAGTTAAAAGAAAGAAAACCCAAATCATACGAATCTACCATTCATTCATTTAAAAAATTTGGTGACGATCCAAAAACAAATAAGAAAGAGAATAATAGATCATTACTTTTTTTTTTTATAAAGTATGCGATTTATTGATATTTAAGTGTTCTTTTCCATTAATTGAATTTGAACATATAAATTTGGGAAATTTGACAGAACATATAATTGCTTGTCCGGTAATAACAAATATCAAAATATTCCTAATTAAAGCTAGAATTTAAGAAAAATTTTCAGAAACGGATTTCATCTAAATTAAATATTTAAAGTTTTAAATATCTTAAAGTTAGTAATTTGATGCCACGCCACGTTACTTCCAGTAGCGGTCAATTTGTTTAAGCTTGCTTGAAAATTTCCTAGAATTTCTCATTATGTAACTTATCTTCCCTGCAAAAAATTTTTGAATTTCTAATACAACATGTAACTTCTATTGTAATTTGCGAAGCACTTCCCAGTTAATCGTTTTGAATCGTAAATAAGCTAGTCAACTTTTAACATTTAATTTTTCAAAGATTATTTAATTAAATTTATTTAAAATTAATATATATAACTCAAAAAAAATTCAATTTTGTTATTTATATTATTAATACTTAGTAAGGTTGCCATTACATCTATTACAGCTTTAACCTTCTTGACAAACTTTCAAACTAAACTTATTACAATTTTGGGTTCCATTCCTCCTCTAATACTATCATTAATTCCCTGATGGAGTTTATGTGCTGAAAATTTCATTTTCAAATCATCCCATAGAGTATGACAATTGTTCAATATACCAAATGGGACCTTTGCAATAGAAAGCCGGAAAAAATCAATTTTATTTTTATATGTCAAATATGATTTTTAGGTCAAAATATGTTCAGATTTAGCATTCAGCCGTTTTCCCTTTTCTATTGCAAAGGTCCCAAATGATTTCCAATTTTTTTTTTAACAAAATTAATAACCCAAGTTAATAAATAATTGTTCATCAACAATTGCATCGAACATGTGATTTATTTTGGTTTGTGCAGCTAAAAATTGGCGTATGAAAGAATTCGTATTACCTAAAAATTTTTATATTTTATATATATCATATGCTTTCTGAGGTCGTCCTTCGAACTTTTTGCATTTTATTATAATATTTTTTTTTGTGTAACAAGAAGAAAAAATTTGGGAACGAAATGGATATATTTATTGTACGTTGTTGGTCACAAGGTTCAATTTTCAATTTCATCGTAAACTGGCGAAAATATAAACACAAAGCTAATGGAGAAACTTCATGCGTCCGATATTAGCTGGGATATTCTTTTTAATGGATACCATGAACCTAATGACGAATTTCCAGGTTTAGTTTTTATATTCTATCATCAATCAAGTTAAAATTATTCTAAATTATTAGCATCTTAACGGATATCAATTAATTTATTTGGTTTTATAACATAGATTTAAATACTGATATTCCAAACCGCGAATTTCCAGGTTTTTATTCTAATACTTAAACAACGTCTTTTCAAATGTTAGCATGATCAATATAAGTTAGTAAAATTGATGAGACGGTATTATCTTTTGTCAACGTCTTGGTTCAGATGTTTAAATTATTATATAAAATATTAACATTATCTTTTTAACAAAAAACAAAAAATCAAAATAATAATAATAATAATAATAATATAATTTAGAGTCTCCTCTGTCTCAAACGAAGGTAATATGTAACCATATTAATGAGAAGTCTGAATCAATTCTTGATAAAACACATCGTAAAGCTAATAGAGGGGTAATACAAAATTCATCGCTGCATTTTTTTTTTTCTTTTTTTTTTTTTGTAAATTAATACTAATAATATAATTTTTTTTGCTTTCTACTTTAAGATAAATAAGTTTCTTTGTCAACATTCTGGTTATTTGAAAAATTTTCGGGATAATCATCAATTAAAAATTCACGAAAGAAAACACACTGGTGAAAACCCACGTGTTTATCCCGGATGCGGCAAAGGATTTTCTCAGAAAAACAACTTGGTAATTCATCAGAGAGGTCACGAAGGTATTAAACCTTATGATTGTAATCTTTGTGAACAAAAGTTCACGCAAAAAATTCATTTAAATGAGCACGAAAGAAACATACCGATGAAAAGCCCTATGTGTGTAATGATTGTAATCTAAAGTTCAGAAGAAAAGGTTCCTTGAAGAAACATGAGAAGACCGAAAAACATAAACGAGCGAGCAGATTATGAGGATGCATCAGTATATTCAGGTATGTTTTGAAAAATAAAAGTATAATTAATATTAAATATATTTTTTTAAATATATAGAAAGTTTAAATATAAATTATTTGATCATCCTATATTCATTAATTTAATTTTTCAAAAATGTAAGGTTAATAAGATTAATAAGAACAAGCAACATTAATAATACTAATTAATTTTTTTTTTTTTATTCTTTTATATAGGATTTACATAAATATCAACCACTTCGAATTTTTGTCTAATTTTAACGCGATCTTGTAAGGCGGGCAAAAAAAATTTTTAGATTCTCGTGACATAAAATTTAAAATTGACACGGTCACCCGGTTTTTTTTTTTTATATATAAATTTTTTTTATATGTATTTTATATTATGTTTTGTAAATAGTTAGGTAAATGAAGGATATTACTATTATTGTAGTGAGTGTTATATGACAGTTTCTGACAAAAAAAAAGTGCTAAGAATATCAAGTTTCAAATAACGAAAATAGTATGTTAAATTTTTTTATAATAAAGTATATGCTATTACGATTTTTCATTATACAAAGTCACGTGATAAAATTTTACTATAAAAAAAAAAAAATCATGAGTTTTTGTAAAAATTGAGGCGGTCGGGTCACGAGAATCTAAAAAATTTTTTGCCCGGCCTAATAGATTAAAAAAAATATTTTTTTTTTCTAATGTGAAATCTAAAATTACAAAAGCATAGTTAAATTGGCAATCGTGTTAAGTTAATAAGCGTTGAGGAATTGATGGTGGTGAAAAGTCTAGAAGGTTGGAATGAAAAAAAATAAAAGTAAAAATAGAATAAATTAAAATTGTGTTAAAATTAATAGAATCAAACTTGGAATTTTGAATGTCGTTTCTTTTTATTATTTTGCCAATGGGACGCTATAAAGATAAATGATAAATCACGTATTTAGTTTTAGATGGATTTTTTTTTTTTTTAAAAAAAAATTGAAATTGAAGTACAGTGGGTATCAAAATTCACCGGGCACTTATTAAATAAAGTCGTTATGATTGTAATTTAAGTTGTTATCATAAATACAAACCTAGAATTTCGTCAGGTAGAACCATCCTCTCAACTTATGGATTATGAACTTCAAGAGAAAAGAAAAATTTGATAATATAAGTTACATTACGTGCATATGCAAGTTCCTCAAAATCGGAGTCTTTGTCAGATTTTATATTAGAGATTGAAATATTCATTATAAAGTTTTTACTTTATTCTTGTTTGTTTAATCCAATTTTGGCAAAAGTCGGGTTTTTGGAATTCGACGATTTTGATATTGATATTGATTTGATTGTATCATTAAACTTTCATGTAATAAATTAAAATTATTTATTTACCATAAACTTTTTATTTACATTTACTTATGGTTCGTGGAAAATAATTTTAATTAATATTTATTTTTTTATAATATCTACTCATCGAAGTTTATGCTTCCCATTAAGAAATGTCATGAGAAACCTTAATTACGGGGACATAAATCAGGATTTTCATCAGGATGTATTAAAAATGTTACCTAGAAGGGAATTTGATTTTAAGGGAGTAATTGAATATCTCATTTTGATAACTTTCGCAGTTTTGCCTTAAATAAAATAATTTGGCAAAACGACAAAATACTAGTTTCGATTTCGACGTTTGTTGAAACTTCAGGAAACTTAAATTTTTCCTATGCTAAAAAGAAATTTATAAATTTGAAATTTATACTTTAGCATAATCGGCTTAATTTATTAAAATTCAAACTTCTAATAAACACATAGTTTCTTAGTATTCTTTTATATTAAAGAATGCCGTTTTCTTATGTCGTTAAAATCAACTATATCTTTATTAAATAATTGTAATAGCATATAGATCGAAAGATCTTATCAATAAAAAATAAAATTTAACATAACTTATATTCTTAAATATAAAATCGTAATCCTTTGTTATATATTATCTATGTTCAAAAAAAAAGATCCAAATATTTAAAAAAATTTTATTTTGAAAATAAAAATGTATTTCTTAAATACATACCGATAGTTAATAAGATTCGTATCACTCAACTTGTACATTTGCTAAAGCTATCCGCTTTCCAAAAATCATTCCTTAATTGGATATCATCAATCTCTTCAATTATTTCATCAATATTTTCATGAATTAAGCTACACATTTTGTTTAATATCCAATGGATTATCTGCTTATAATACTTCAAACAATATAATAAATCCAACTCTGAATAATCGAAGAAACTTCTTTGGCAGTTAGTCTTCCAGAAGGATCTGGGTCCCAACATGCATTTATTAAATCAACATAACTGTGGAGTATTTTGAATGATCCCAAGGACGCTCACGTTTAAAATAAGCTGTAGATCTGTCGTTAAAATGATGGAATTCCTGATGCAAGTTCCCAAAACTTCGAGCGCTATGAAAGGTGAGATACCTCATTTTTAGAAGTAATTGGAGAAATAAGATACTGATATAATTACAACCCATTATAATTATTACGAATTCTCTTTGTTAAAATATTACTAGTACAAAGGTCATGATTTAAAGGTTAGAGTCATGCAATTTCATAAGATCAATGATAATAAGTATAATTAAATTTAACGATTTCAGATAAAACATGTTCTTAAAGTTTTCTACGTACTAGGGAACGGTTTCGGAAACCGTTGTTAAATCCGGAGCACAAGTGTAACGAAAGGGTCCTTCGCTTACGCTCCGGACCAGGGGATCTAGGATTTTAACCTGGACCCCCAAATTTGATTGGTTCATTATGATCCCAGCCACATTAATTAATTATTTGTTTACTATTTACCATTACGCACGATAATAAATCTCTCTTTCACATCTTTTTCATGTTTTTTTTTAAGGTTTTGTTCATTAATAAAGCTAAAATATTTTTCAACAGCAGTTCATAACTTCAAGTGTAGAAGAATATTATCATGAAGTTGTGGAC